AATAACTTATAAAGTTTTTATTTTAAAAGGATATCCTTTTGTGATATCCTAGTTGTTGTGATAATTCATAATAATATTTAGTTTTAGTAAAATTGGAAGAATACTTTTTGAGTTATTGAAGTTTTTTGTTGTGAAAATTGACAAAAAACGTATTTTGCTTAATTTTTATACATGGAAAAATAAAAACAATTTGCCATATTATAGTAATAATAATTATTATTATTAATACTGAATTTCAAATAGATTGGGCTAATACTTTTCAAGTTATAAAAGTTTTTGTGTTCCAAAATTGGCGAAAAACAGTTTTTGTCAATTTTTTTAACGATTATTTTACAATAAAACAAAAAGTTCTTTATAGAAAGACCAAATCTAAATCTGACGGTGTAATTTTAATAAAAGCGAATCATAATACCAAATATCAAGTTAATCAGAATAATATTTGCTGAGTTATTTGACATTTTTAGCCAAATTTTCAACAAAATTACATAAAACACAAATATTCGCAATTTTTATTAATATTTACATCAAAATAATAATTTTTTCCTCCAAATTGATTCCATATATTATTCCATTTAATCCCATGTTCAAATAAAACACGCAAAACACACGCAGTTGTAATGCAAGTAAATAAAATGCAAATATAAACATGTTTACTCTTCATTTGCAAACTGATTAAAATTAAAGTATGAATAAAATTAAAAACAACTTTTTGTCCCGTCTCGTACCGACTCGTACATACAACTCAAATACTACACAACACGTCGGTGGATTATTAAAGCAAAGATGATTAAGGAATATTAATAATCCTACCTTGGGCGCTGAGCGACTGGCGAGCTTTCCAGCACAACAAACAAAGTAGATAATTATGTCCGACTGACATGTGAGCTTGATTAGGGCATTAGAATCATTAATTCCGACGATGCCGACGTGGCTTTCAGCTTGTAACTCCCTCATCGCTGTGAGGTTGCGAGCGCTTTTTTTCGTTTGTCGCACGTCGCACGCTTTAATTTATAAAACCAACAAGATGAACAGATGAATTCACTTACCCATGGTCAGGTAGAGAAGAGAAGAACAGAAAGACAACTGACAGGTGAACATCTGAAACGAGAAAAAACAGAAAAATTAATCGTTTAATAAAGTATTAATCGTAAGAATTAAATTTGCACATGTAGAGGGCGCCACAACTTAAATATGGCCGACTTAAACCAAAAATTGATATTTTGATTTAGATATCATAAAATAAGCTCACAAAAGAATATTTTTAATTTAAAATTGTTATTTGCGTGTTTAAAGTGTTAATTTTAAGCACTTGATAAAAACAGGTTGAAAATTGCTATGTTCAACATGTTATTTTATTATTTTTAAGGGATTTAGTGAATTATTTTCGTCCGAAATATAAAAGATTTTCTCAAATTATTTTTATCAAAATTGCACATTTTTGGTTTTTAAAAATCCGTTAAATAAAGGATAATTCATAAATTTTACTTAAAAACCTACTAAAAAATTAAATAAATTAATGTTTTGCAATTTTTATGCAAAACGTTAAAAAAATTGCGAAAAATTCACTTTAAAAAACCGAATAACTCTGAAAATATTAAAATCCAGAGGGCGCCACAACTTAAATATCGCCTACTTAAACCAGAAACTATTAGATTACTTTATTATTAATATCGAACACTGCATAACAATGTAACACATTGTTAGAACATCGAATGTAGATCTCCGTGGACCTCACAGAAGAATACTCGTAGCAATTACAAGAAGAAAATCTAGTTAACAAAAAATGCATCCTCGGCGCCCGGTCTGCATTAATATTCAAACGAGGTGTCCTAATAAGTGGCGTATAATGCGCTCGTTTGTTTCGTTATCTTATTTATGCCCCAATATTTTACATTAGCTCATTGGTCAGCATCACATTAGTGCACTGCACAGTCTACACTACACAACTCGGTGAGAAGTGGAACGAGGCGCAAGTGCGTGAGCAGGCGCGGTTGTAAACAGGAGGATTTACGACAAATTCGTATGCGTTCGGATTAATAAGCGAGATAAAAACAATGCGCGCACACAGGCGTATATTATGTATATCTTTTACTCGGCGGCGCGCGCGCGAGCTAACGCTCGTAATCAGTTGCGGCTGCATTCTTCCTGGTACGTGTTGAATCTGTCAACTTGCTTAGTGGTGATAGAATGACCACCTACAAGTTTTCTTCGGGAGTAAGATTACGGTTTAATTGGAATATTCGATGTGGATGATTGAAAGTGTTGCGGTGGGGAAATTGAATGGATTGATAAGGAAATCATCAATAATATTTATATGGGTGTTATAATTGACATTGGATTGAATGATGTTTAAAGTGTGAAAGTTTATGTTGGAATTTGAAGTTATTTGCGTGTTAAAAGTGATAATTTTAAACACTTGATAAAAACAGGTTGAAAATTGTAGTGTGTTACTTGTTATTTTGGTATTTTTAAGAGAATTAGTGAATTACGAATAATTTCGGTAGAACGGTAAAAAATAAGTTTTTTTTACAAAAAATTCTATAAAATTAGGAAATTTTTATTTTTTGCAACTTTGGCAAAAATTTCACTTTAAAAAATCGAATAATTCGAGAAATATTCATCAGATTGATAATTTGGTAGATTTATTTACTTTTTCAATATTTCTACTTCTAATTTATATTCATTGTATAAAAAAATATCTGCGTGTTCAAAGTGTCAATTTTAAACACTTGACGCAAACATGTTGAAAAAATGACAAAATTAAGCTTTTTCAATTGATATTTTTATAATAAACAGTGTATCAGTGTCATTAGTAATCCAAAAATCACTTTTGTGCACTAGTGCGTAAAAGTATTATTTTACAAACGCTAAAAACTAAAAAGGCTAGAAAAGCACTATAATAGAACATTTACACAATATTACAAACTATTTTACGTAAATATGTTAAAAATATTACTTTTTATCACTTCTTATTCCCAAAATGTATCATTTTACACACTATTATACTCATGTATATAATAATATGACCCACTGAATACATTGTAGCCTCCTCAAAATAGTAAACGAGTTATTTTCGTCCGGCTTGCGGTTATATCACAAATCCCGATATCTCTTAACTTAACGAAAATAAAAAATAAACGCGGTACTACGCGCCATTTCTAAATTTACCACAATATCCATTATCCTTTGCTGCGCGTATCTATTGTCTGTTTCTCGATCTGCTGAGATGTTTTCCAAACATCTCACGCCACAAGACCATCCACAATAATACTCTCTGTCAGTGTCTCGACAATATTTTGTAAACTACGCTACATTTTTTCATTGCGCATACTATACTCGTATAAAAAAATAAAAACACTACCAGCAATATTTTCGCATCGCTTATCTCGTAAATAATTGCGAATGCATTGCGCTGTGATACAATGACGACACTTTAGATTATGAATATCTGAATGAGAGACACCAGTCCACACCAGTGCTGTGGTCACACAGATGGACGTTGCTGTTGAGCGTTGATGAAAGTGAAGTGTGAAGTGATCTTATTAAGATTACAGTTATCACTTAATACACGGTATGTCACGGTGTAGGTGTAGGTATTTTTTGTCTCGCTGCATATTTATAAAGATATAAAGAGAGTACAAAGAGATTATTTATCTGTTGGTTGAGCGGTGGTTGGGAGATAAAATATTTATTTATTGTTACGACTCGCAGAGGTATCTTTTATTGCAATAAGTATTGCAAGGTGAGAGAGGTGTTGCAATTTGCGCACGCTGATGATGGCAGCTTGATAAGAATTGAAGAGGGAAATAACAAGTCGAGCGAAAACAACTTCACTTTTTATATTTATTCATAAAGTAATCACCTTTTTCAATTGTAGAAAAAGAAAAAAGAGAGATAAAATTGTTGTATTGTAGATTAAGTGTAGAAAATCATAATTTTAAACACGCAGCAGGAAGGTATTTGAAAAATAAGATTTAGGAACAATTTTTTTGATGCTAGTGTTGATTGAAAGTGATATTTAAATGCAAAAAAATTACTGTTTTGAAGACGAGTGCCCAAAAGTATCAATTTCTACTCTAATTATAATTTTTTGTTCAATATTATGTTTTTATGCAATTTTTGATAACTTTTAAATATATAAAGTAATATTTTTGAACACTAGTGTGCAAAAGAACCATTTTAAACCCGTAGGATATGAAATTATCAAGAATAGAATTAAAAAATGATTTTTTTCTATGTTTTACACCCTATAATTTTACGCACTAGTGTTCAAAAGTTCTATTTTAAAATAAACTTCAAAAATGTCAATTTTATCACCAACAAATACAACATATTTCTATAAATTAACTTTTTTTTAATAAAACATGTTGAAAAATTAAATTTTCTCCTAAAATTCAATCATTTAGAATCAAATTTTTGCACACTAGTGTACAAAATCACATTTTCTCACATTTCTATAAACCCTATTGATAGTTTTCAACGTTTCCAAATATATTTTACACACTACAATCACCAATTCACGAAATATCCTCTCCACAAAACCATTTTATTTACACCATTGAAACAACTTTCTAATGTAACTCGATAAGACATTGTCTCAAACGCACATAAAATTCGAAGATGCGTGTAGCGTTGTGTCGCCTTGGAAGACCACCAACAAATTTCCCTATCGTGAACAAGTAGCAACCGTTGCGCGAGGACATAAGAAACGCAACAAACGTTACAATGAATATTTATCGAATCGAAACTAAACCGTCGCAACACAAACTCCAGCCACTCATGAGAAAATGCAAAAAATATTTACGACGATATCTTGCGCGACACCCACCCGGATTCTCTTCATGCACCTTTTAGTTTGACATCGGCGCGTGAAAAACGGTACATGCATTGCTCGCTTATTAGTTACACGCATGCCAAACGCACTTACGCTCATAAATTACTTCAAATATACCGAGTGTTTACAATAAATCACTGATAATAATAATTAATTCTTGTTTCAGCTATACTTCAGCGCACGGCGATTGGCATTGGCAAGCTGAAGATCCAAGGCGTCGGAACCTGTCAGTACTTATGCATGGACGCGTGCGGTTTTCTCTACGGATCGGTAAGTCGAAATTAATCTCCTGTCCTGTTAGTGTATACTGATAGCCGCCAACCATACTAATAATAATAATAATAACTAATACGGTTTGTGTGTAAGGATTTATCTGTTCGGCGTGTCGATATTGTAAATTCGCGCCTCGCGGAGTAATTTCTTCAGCGGCGCGCATTAATTCATCAGGTTTATATTCGTATTCGCGCCGCAGTGAATTTGAACGCGGCCATTATCTTTATTGTGGCGGCGATCATAAATAAACCACGCCGGCATTTTGCGCTTTTTATCCTGCCCACCTAGTGCTAGTTGCTAGGACGAGCTGACAATGAGCATAAGGATGCGATTACGACGCACTGGAGCCGTGTTTAACGTTGTGAAGTTGTTAAGTCAGAGCGAAGTGTAGTGTTGGTCATGGACCATGGACGAGATTTAGATTTTAATCTAGATGCGCGTGTTGCCGGCGCGTCGCGAATCTATTATTTAATTTATCGCTGAGGGTACGCAAGGCGTTTGACATTTCCGCGCTTAAATTAACTTGAGTAAACATTGGTACTACTTTGTAAAGTACAAAGACTTCATATTTTACTATTTATGACGCTGTCAGATTGTGTGATAATGGGAATCACAAATAAATCGGTGATAATTAAATGCAAATTGAGTTTATATAGTCGTGGAACTTATATAAGAATTATTTGGGTAGAAATTTTTAGTTTTTTGTTAATAACTTGAAAAGTTATTAATATATTTTAATTATTTTTAAATAGATTTGTTTATTATTTAATTCTTTATGAATCTTTAAAAATTTTGAAGTGATTGGTCGATTTTATAATTTTTTACAAAATTAACTTTAATTGTTTATAACTTTTTGTTAAATAATTTTAGAAACAAAATTTATAAATAATTTGGTGTTGAATTTAAGTAGACATCTATTTCTGAAAGAATTATTAAATTTCTTCAAATAGTTTTGTTTTTATTAATTAAAAACTATGACAATGCAATTTTATTCGCGGCTTCTGAGTATGGACTGCAAATTATCGTCAATTACTTACAGTTATTTGTTAATACCTCGCACGGTGGTCAATTTATTTAACTAATTTTTAGTGTAGATTATGTAATATTAAATTCTGAACATAATTTAAGAAAAATATCATTGATCACACATTTTTATCAAAAGTTATAACCTAATTTCAACCAAATTACAAAATTTATAAAAAAAAAATTTTTCAATTGTTTATAACTTTTTACACAATATACACATCATCAATATTTTTACCAAAATCTATGCAGAATTTAATACTCTTAAACCACTGTTAAAATTATCCATCTACCACAAACAGTTTTCGAGTAATTAATAAATAACTAATCCTCAGACAATAGCCGCGTCTACAAGTAAGTGAAAGCACCGAAACTATATTTAATCTAGTATTACCAGCGTACTTCTTTAAGGTTAACGTCCTGATTGTAACCTATAAATTACCAAACATTAAATCGCACTTCGCACGCTCTAAACTTTGTGACACGGGTCTCGCAATCGCACGAAATTGCTTTCCCGCTTTCCTCGCACAAGTCAGAAATGAAGTTAAAGTTTAACTTTTAAACGTTTCCCTTGCCAGAAACTTCGTACAAGTTTCCAACGTTGACGGAAGTAGATTTGTAGAGTTTTATCGAGTTACTAATGGTCCGCTTCTAACGAATACTTTACTTCGGATCAAATTGAAAGAAAAAGTATCATAAATTAGTTTAAGGGACCTGATCGGAGCTTTTAGATAATTGAAGAATGGAACAACCCTTGATCATAAAGATCACCAAAATAGATAAAGATAGAAATAAAGAATTTAAATCGTTCAATTAGCCTCACCTAACCTCACCATGATAATGATTTCAATTTTTTTTCTGTTTCAGAGGGAGTTTAATGAAGAATGCGTCTTCAACGAGATGATCCAAGAGCACCACTACAACACCTACTCCTCAACGAGGTACTCCAATGAAAAACGCACCATGTACCTAGCGCTGAACCGAAAGGGTACACCTCGCAAGGTGCTGCTACATGCCGGACACCCTCTAGGAAGGTTATCCTCATACACCAGGGTCCTCACCAGGACGGTACCACCTCAGAAACTGGAGGATCTCCACCCGGTGCGACATCACGGGCATTCCTGCCCCGCGGATCCAGTCAAACCCCATTCACAACAACAAGCCCCGACGCGTTGTCGACGCCACAAGAAGCGCAAGAAACGAAAACGAAAGTGTCCCGAAGATGAAGACTCCCTGGCTGCCCCAGGGGAGTCGCCCTGCATCGGGGGCGGTGGAAAAAGACAACGCGTACGACCCGTAGCCAATAGCCATAGTAACATTAATAGTAGCCATAGGTGTGAATCGGACGATAGTGAAGAGTGCCAAAGAGTTGTTGTTGATCTGAACGTTGGTGGTGGTGGTGGTAAGAAGGCGAGCAGTAGTAGTGCGAAGACGAAATTAGGTGATAGACTGGCGTCGAGTGGCGCGAAGAAGAAGCGGCTGCAGATGAAAGGTATTACGAAGTTGGCCGGGGGCGGCGGCGGCGGTGGTGGTGGAAGGAAACGAGTGCGGAATACAACGCATGGGCCGCCCACGACCACGCCTCTTCCCACATTGGTGGAGGAGGGTACTGAGGAGGGTGATTATCTCGACGGGACGACGGCGTTGGAGTGGGATGATCCCACGGCGGCGCCGACGCCCGAAGAGGCGGCCGCGCTGCCGGATTGACTCGGCGTCGACAGGACTGAAGCAACTACGAACGTAACGACGACGACTACAATGACGACATGGACACCGCCTCCTGACGCCCAGGGGGGCGGGTGTTCTCTTCATGCCACTCCTTCATCATCCACTCGCATGTTTTTCTATTTATTTCTACTATTTATTATATTTTGAAAATTGTACATAAATTAAGTAATCATATACCTCGCTATACAATAATAAATATTGAGAAATACACACACGATAAATAATGTATTTTATGAATATTAAATCCTATAAATTTCAGAGTTTTTTTAAAAAACGAGAAAAGGTAAGTAAAAAGTGACGCCATCTGGCGAACAATAGCTCTTATGTTCCGTATAAAATGGAAAATCACAATTTGTGCTATTAATACATGCGGGGCTATTAAATCACATGCCGGTCTGTTGAAAAGTCAACACTGCGAGCGCATGTGATGAGTTTAGTAGACCTTAGTATATGCGTGCCGCCACCCGAGTGTGCAAACACGCAATTACGACAGAAACAAAACCAGTTGTCGTAAATTATTGAGTTTTCTATTTGTAAACTAGTTTCTAAATGTTCCCAAGTGCAAAACACATATACAATAAAATTTTAAGTTTTTTAATATGCTTTTCCATGGAAAATTGTTTATAAGTTGAATAATAATTAATATTTTTAGTTGATATTTATATTGAGGGTTAATATATTTTTAGTGAAGATGTCTGTTAATTTTTAGGTGTTTTGGATTAAAATTGACAAAATGGTGGAGGAGCAAAGTTGAAGTTTTGTTTTTTAGTAGAAATTTAATGAAAAATGTTATTAATTTGCTAATAAAGTGAAAAGTAATTAATATTTTTATTTGATTTTTATTTTACGACTAAATATGCTTTCCAGTAATATATGTGCAAAATTTGATTGAATTTTATGTAAAATTGACAAAATGGCGTCGTTTTAAACTAAAAAAATGTGTTTTTCGCAACAATTTTTAGATTTTTTTGTTTTAATCTAGTGTAAAATCGTCAAATTTTAATATTTTCCATTGAAATTCAGTTCAGGTATAAATATATTCCTTCTTTCCATGTGTTCAAAATTTAGCAACTATTGCATAAAAATATAAACAATTAAACACTATTTTAAGTAAAAATTTACGCGATTTTTACGTTTTTTATCAGTTTTTTCAATTTATTTAAAATATAACTCTAATATTATTAATAAAATTTATTAATATTACTCTTTTATTGTTAATAAATAAATATTCAAAAAATGATAAAATTAACCAAGTAGTTCCCGAGATATTCGCATTTAAACTTTAAAATTTCCAAAACCAAATACTAGTACCCCTTAACTATTAAATTTTTCGCCGATTGCAGCTGCAGTTTTGACCTGATTCCTCAAAACCAAACATCGAATTTATAAAATACTGCTGCATTTTGAAAACAAACCGAAACCTCCTCGCCGATTATGCAAGTACCTACTTACTTAGTGTAAATAGTTTATTTTATCTAATTTGCGTTTATGCCAGGCTGGAAATTGCACAAATCACAAATATCGCAAATGGCACTCTGCACGCGTACGAACGCAGGCGAAGCATGTGAATGGGGTTTATTGCCGGCTGTAATTCAACGTTGTTTCCTATTTTCTATTCGCACCGCGCGGAATTTCGTTCTTTGTGTCGTCGCAGCCCGATAACATCGCCGTTCGCGATTTTTCCATCGTCACGCATAAACTACGCAAATATTCGAATAAATATTATCATTCACGCAGCACATAACCTACAAAACCTATAATCTACCATACCAGGTAATATATTAAATCCTATATATTTTATTTTGATACTAAATTGCCCTTGAATCTTGCATCGTTGATATATTTAGAAACTTTCGCACTTGAATTCGAATTTCTCGCCGTGCACGCATGTTTATTGGTTCAGACTCGCGTGTTAATTATTAATTAGTCGACGAGCGTGTGCTCTTCGCGCACGATTTACAACTATTTTCGTGCGTCGTGTTTACGCATTTCACTCATTTTCATCGAAATTATCACTCCATCTCCGGCGCGTTGTGTTATAAATGAGTGTGGCGCGGCTTTGAAGTCATGCCACGATAGAAATCTTTCTTTTTCTTTTCTTAAAGAACACAAAGGACCATTTGGTGTCTCAAAGTTGAAATGTTGTGACTAGCCTAACAAGAGTTTTGTTATGTCGAACGATGGTGATTGACGAATTGATTTCATGATTTCACCCCTTGACAGTGATTGAAATCTTGTCACAACCCAAAAAAAAACGAGAAAAATATGCTTTCAACCCTTATCTTTTAACAGGGCTTATATTTTCCTCTCGGGGAGATTGTGATATCGTACAAATGAGACCAATTTGTCTTCGTTTGATGATAAAAATGCCCTGCGGACATCCACGACGAGAACCACCCTTTAATTATAATATCTTTGTGCATCTACGAGTACATTGTCACATCACAGATTGATTAATGAGTTCGGTTTTGTTCTGTTCTGTTCTCTTCCCGGAGATTTTTATTTTGTGTGTGTTTTTGCACTGTGCGAGTGTTAAATTGTAGAGCGCTGCACGCTGATTGCAGGAGGCAGGAGGCTCGTTTAATTTAATTACTTCTTTCGGCTATAATTTCCAGCGTGGCGCTCACAGCTTGAATATCTAATCGTTCTTCAGGCGTCTTAGACGCGTTAGAAGCGCATAAAAACTGCGGAACGGAGGAATTCCAGCGGAAGGTTGAGGAGATTGAAAGCGAAGAAGCACGCTAGAGTAACGAGCGAATCGATAAAGTAACAAAAGTTTTGCGAAAAATCAAAGATTTGTATCTTTTGAGCTCGTTTGCAATGCAAATGTAATCTGCAATCAGATTTGATTCAATTGGGGATTTATGGATGTATAAATAGGAATTTATTACTGGAAAGTGGGAAAAATTTATGAAATTATGGTCGGAGTTTGTAAATCTTAGGAATTATTACAAAATTTTAATTATTTTATCTCAAATTTTCATTTTTTGATGACTCAACGTTAGTTATCGTTAGATTTAATGATAAAATAATTTTTATAACGAAATTTGTTGGTTTTCTTAATATTTTGATGAAAAAACTACATAAAAATGATAAAATTCTGATAAAAATAGCCAAAAATTAAAATAAAAACCTTAATTTTAGTTTTAAGCAGATTTTCGATCTACAAATTTAAAAATAAATTTAAAAATAAATTTAAAATAACGCATTTTTTATGCTTTTATACTATAAATTTACAAAACAATAAAATTTTGTCTAAAAATGTCAAAATTTTAACAAAAAAGACAAAAAATAAAAAATAAAATTTTAAAGATTCGCAATTTTAAATTTAACCCAAAGTCTTCTAATTTCCCCAAGCATATTTCTAAGTAATTTAAAAAAATAAATAAATAAATAACTTATTTACATGCCTTATCAACAAAAAGCAATGCCTTAAGAGATAATATAATGCCTAAAAGTGAAATTACAGCTAAATTTCGTAAAACCACAGCTATCCAGCTATAAATTTAATCTTTTGTCATTGAATTTGAATTTATGCAATCCGGAAAGTAAAAGCAAAACAAAGCATCAACTCTCGAGAATCGCTTGCATGTGTGCAGTTGGTAGCCGGATGATATTTAATCGCACTGCAAGCAACTCTGCGCTTTACCGCTCGGCGCAATAAATAAAACACAACTCTACTCACTACTACCGAGTACGCACGCATGCACGCACGCAACTTTCCAAAACGTTTAAAATAATTACAATCAAATGTTGTTACACTAGTTACACCAGTAACACCAGTAAAACAAGTATGTGTAACACCAAAGATGCACACGTTGCATCTTAAATCGTAAAGCATCATAATTAATAGACCAATGAATAATTAAACACAAAAAATATTTTTAAATTTTTTATTCATTTATTTAATGATTTGATGATTAGGAATGCAATAAAACACCCTAGAGTGTTTAATTATACACGTGTGTTTATTTATGAAGGCAATTTGATCTCATTAAACGTTTAAACGCCTCGAAATTGATTTGAAATCCAAACCACAGATAACACTTTATTTCTATTTTTAATCCGGTTAGGTTTTCGTGTAATTTGAATTAATTGTCAACTGGATACAAACGTGTAGGTATATTAAAAGTCGAAACCTTTTCGGAAATCACTACCGATTGGAATCTTCACCCTCAATCCTCAACTTCACTCCCCTAATAATACTGACAGAGAGTATTTAGACCAGTGATTATTTCCCTCGGCAGAAAAGTGCAATCTGCACTTCCAGGCCCAACAATTCGGAACGAAACCAAAGGGGAGATATGCTGCACATCTACACGTGTAGAGACATTCCGGAAACAATGTGTTAAGCAGCCGTTAAATGGAAAGCAACTCCGAAGAAAGAAATATCACGCATTCAGACAATACGAGTACAACACGCGCAGAGAGAGCAATTTTTCCGTCAGCAGGTTTTCGACCGGCGCGACATCCCCCGACGTCGGGGATATCTCGATATAGGCTTAATTAAATTTTACGGCCGCGGTGGATGACGTGCCCACATATAATTTAAAAGGGTCGTAGTGGTAGATGTATTAGTGGCTTTGTTCGGAAGTAAAACACAAAAACACAATGCGATTTATTGGAATATTATTTAACCGCGACGTGTGGGTGTACGGCTGGAAGAATGGTCACTTAAAATATATATGATGATGATGATGATAACATCATATAATGTATTTTCGAGCGGCGTCAATAAAAATAGATCACTTTCCGAGAAACAAACTTGCGCGAGGTTTTATTCATAGAAATCACGAGACGACTCTTATGAGCTTGTGAACGAGCGCGAGGTCTGAGCTCACGTGGATGTGAATTATGTGGCGGGTTGCAGGCGGGATGCATTCGGACGTATTCAGAGAAGTCTCAAAGTCGTTCAATGAGACAGTCAGCGGAGTCTAGCCAAATATTCGAAGTGGTATTACCAGTAAAGTTTTTAAAGTTTTTGAAGCGGGAATTTACAAATGGTTTATTGGAGTTTCCGCAAGTTTTATGGCTCATGATCATGATTATGATGATTATGTTGATGAAATTTGAGAGAATATGTTTGTTTTTCACTTACTAAATTAAGAAATGAGAAAAAAATTATACGACTTTAATAATTTTTGAATTATTAGTTAATAACCAATTATATAATCAGCATTTGCTAATAATTTGCTATAAATTTATCTCCATAATTAGATATTTA